AATTGCGGCCCCAGGATGATTTGGCGGCTAAGCAGGACAGGCAGCAGCAGCAAAAACACCTGACGGGCCAGATAAATGTCCATGTGGCCTGCAGGCCGTCGTAGTTTGAGGACACCCATATTAGAGTCACAAACTTAAGGAAAGCTCCCTTTCCCAGAAAAACATATGCACCAAAAATACACACAATTTTGCACACAATTTAATAAGGGTCTAGACTTCCCTGAAAGCTACCTACAGATCCTAGGTTTTAAAACTCTGAACACAACCCTCCCACCATAACCTGAAAGGACCTGGATCAGGGACCACAAAGGACTGATGGGCACACGGATGGGGGAGGGAAAGTCAGTTTCCAAGCGAATCATTTCCAATAGCAACATGAGGAAGTGTAACTGGCAGGGTACACACAAAACAGTCTATAAATATACAAACTCACCTAAAAATAAGTCTATATATGCTATTATTTTACTCTAAAAATGTATTTTGTTTGCAAATACTTAAAACTGACCAATAAAATAGCTTTGGTGTTAACAGTCCTCTTCCATTGAGAGGCTACCTTAGTGGCATGTACAAACACAAGGTTCTGGGATCTATGAATTGTTCATGTGTCTCTTGATACTTTATAATATGGGAATAACAAAAAACAATAAGTTTTAATTTACATATGATCCTAAGATTTCTCTAGCTACGTACACTGGGGATGGCAACAACAATAACCAAAGCTCCCTGGTTTGGGTAAACATGGCTCAAAACTCCTTTGGCTCCACAGCCTATACATGCTTGAAGCTCCCCCACACTTCCAGCATCATCCTTGGCGCTACCTCACCACCCTCTTCTGGCCCCCTATTTATTTACATGTGGTACTCATGCTTTGCCCATTTCAGACTGGACACAGCACTCAGTCCTTCCACCCATTTCCACAAGAAATCCACTCACCCCAATTACCCCCCAACTTGAAAGAAACAGTCTATATAAAGAGTCTGTGGCCAGTAAGCTTCCCATACAAGAGTTCTTGACATCATACCCCCCTCGCTTGCTGGCTCCTTCTTCTTCTCCCTTTTCAATTCTGCTCTTTGTTTTCTTGTCTCAAAAGAGCCAGAGAGATTCAAGTTCTTCTATTACGTGGAGTAACTAAGCCCTCTGCAGGTCCGACCCCAATTTTAGATGCCCAAACCCATCCCGGGGCTCAGTGGAACAGAAAAACTCCTAATAACATGACCCATCAGCCTTAGTAGGCAATTGGGAGTCATAATCTTTTACTGTATGACCAAGTGCTAGACACTTTATACATGTTTATCTAGTTCTCCCAACTATTCCACAACTTAGGTATTTTCAAAACCATTTTATAGATGAGCAACTTGAGGTTCAGAAAGATTTAAAAATACTTTAGGTCAGAGTAAGTGCTGTAATTATCACCTGGATTTTTCCTTTTTATCTATGATCCACATGTCCTAACTCAGCCTTGCTCCTCTCTCCCCTAGCGTGATCTTACCACTCATTTCCATTTCACCTACTTTTTTCAAATTCTTAAAAGTAATGGCAAATCATACATAAAAGAGTGCTTTTAAATTTTTTGGAGTAGAACTGAGAGTTCTACTTTGGAAGGCCTAATGTGTCCAAGCTCACACAACACCCCTCTACGACTACCAAGCTGGCCGCCCGGATGGATGAGCTATGTCCATGCCCCCACACGGCACTGTCTGCACGCTGGGCTCTGATGTGAAGTGTTCTTCCTAACTGAAAGATGCGATTTGCCATTTATTCAGGCTCCTGAATGAGAAACTGTGAAGTCATTCTTGACTTCTCTAAAACCCTGTGGGACCCAGGAGTGACCCATCACAGATGACCTCTTTTCCCACCCTGCTCCTATCAGGAGGGCTAGTTTGAGTTGCTACCACCTCAGTGGGGAAACAAAAGTGCAGACTTGTTCTTCAAAGCTAGTAGACAACAGGGTCACTGTCAAGGCTCCTGCACAGAACACAGGCCCCCACTGCTTCAGCTAGGAAGCACTTCAAGTGGGCTGCAGTTGTCAGCAACCAAAGCAGGGCTGACATAGGAACAAACCCCTGGGGTACCAGGCAGACATCAGGAATGACCCACATGGGTCATACCGGAAACATTAGCTGCCAACACTTTAATATTAAATTTTATGTAAAAATCTATGTTGGTTTCTTCTTAAAACAGCAATAGTATGAAGGAAACTTAGGCTTGTATCGTGTTGTGAAAACAAAGAGAATGGCTGGTAGAGGCTGCCCCCTCCGGCAGGGCGTGCTTTCTCAGCTCCACACAGGCCTTCACTCCTCTGAATTATTCCTGACCTAACTCAGTCATTTGTTACTTGCTTGGCAGTGACCTGTGGGCCAAGGTACCTTCACACCTTCGCTTGTCTGTGACAGTCCTGGTTTAGGCCTGTTGTCCAGACTTCAGTATTCGTATCACCTCCCTCCTTCTGCTCTCAAGTGCCCACTTTGGACAGAATGTATGGTCACCTAGGCAGTGTACAAGCCAACCCCTCTCCCCCCACACACAATGACCACTGAATTCACACAACTACATGTCAAGCACAGAACCCTGTTATAAAGTGATTTTATTAAATTGATTTGGACATACTGTAGGTCAAATAATATTTTCTGAACAATTATGGACTTTAAAGCTCGACATAAAATTAGTAGCTTCCAAAGGGTTAGTCATATTCCCCAGCAACAGCATGATAAAATAATTCAACTATGTAGAAATATAGAACTCTAGGACTAGCTGGAAACTTGGAAATCATTTAGCCTAATATCCTCTTTTTGAGAGAAAACTAGACTCAAAGATTAAGCAATCTGCCCAAGCTCATATACCTAATAGTAATAAAGCTAGAAATCAAACCAATTTTTCCTAAAACTAAAATTCTATCAATGATATTTCAACTGGCTCTCTATCAACTAAAAGTCTAGGCTTTTCTCTAATGCTCCACACTATTGTGACATGAAGAGTGATAAGACACTACAGTAAATCGTACTTGTGGAATTCTGGCCTGGAAGGGGCTTTCAGCAAATAACTAAGCCAGCCCTCACTTGGTAAAAAGGAGGAAAAGTACGTGAAGTGATTTACCAAAGGCTTGCTAGCACAGATGTCTGGACATCAACAAATTTATGCCCAAATCCCATCTCTAGCTACATGGCCCACCCACCAAACAGTGTGCTCCTTTTAAATCTCCTTTATGCATTGAGGTTTTAGTTATACAAAAACCCCTTCCAGTCAAACAGAAGAACTTAATTCAAACATGGGAGAGAAAAATCCAGCTTTGATTCAGTATTCCCATGATTACTCTGAGTTAGTTCACTTTCCAACCTCTGAGACAGCTGACAGACACCACCAACCTGATCACCCATTTCAGAGCTTCAAAGATCCGTAATTTCCCCCCAAAGACTTCCTGAGCAAAAGGACTACATGTGGGAAATCAATGAAAATAGGAATGAGAAGAGAAACAAAGTTAAAACATGGTTGCTTTTTTTCCTGTCATTGGGGACTTTTGGTCTTCTAAACATTCCTTGAGTTCCTCCACATGAGTTTTTAATATCAATCTAGCAAAAAAAAAAAAAGAAGAAGAAGAAGAAGAAGCCTATGAAAGGATGCTGAGCATCTCAGTATCCCCCACCCCACCGCTAACTCCACGCTGGCCCTCCTGTCCCTCAGGTGCACATCTGTGCTCTGTAGCGGGTGCTTCTCGTTCTCTGGCCTCAGCTCCAGTGCCACCCTTGGAAAGGCCTCCCTGACCGCTAGCTAATGATGCCCCACCCCCGCCCACCCCACCACTAAATCCTCACCCTAGTTTATTTTCTTCATAGCATTTAATTACTATCTCAAACTACATTATTTATTATTTGTTTACTTATCATCTGTCTCCTCCACCAGAAATAAACTCCATGAGAGCAGGGACCTTGTCTGTCCTATTCAGTGGTATTCCCAGCACCTAGCACAGTGCCTGGCACATAGGAGGTGTTCAAATAAATATTTGCTGAATGAATGAAGAAAGAAAAGGATAATGGATTAATAAGACGTTCATGCCTAGAAAGGAATTGATACATAGTACTGAACAAAGAGTACTGAGGACTCCTACACATTATTGCCCAAGATTGTGGAGACAAGAGACTAAATACTGAATGTCCTCAGTGATTCCTTCCACCATCCACTTCTCATAGCGTCTCCCTAGCTAGTGAGGAGCTCTACACGTAAAAGGAGCTGGAGAGGGCAATTCTGGATGGAGAGAAGTTTTCACTTTGCTTGCTCCTTCCTCCTGCTATTTACATTCAGCTATTTCCAAAAAAATTTCAAGTTAAAAATATGTGATGCAGGCCACTAAAAAACAAGTCTGACTAACACAGAGACATAATGATTAGTTGAATCCACAAAAATAAAAAAATTTCAAGGACACGTAAGTCTGCCAATGATTTTTCTGATAGGCCAAGTGAATGAATATTATGAGTCACCTAAAATCTAAAATGAAATTTAATGCCATCTAGGAAGGGATGGATATTTATGGGCATTTAGAGGACATGTATGTAGGTAAAGTGGATTCAGAAATAATGGGATTTATGAAAAGATATGTAGGGGCTAAATCAAGCGGTAACCTCAGCAATACCAGAACACTACCTTAGTGGGAGCTATCCATTTTCAAATGCATCATCAGTATGCTCAATTCAAGAGGAAGGAAGGACACGAGCCCCTGAAGGGGGTCATCTGGGATAACTTTTATGTAAAACATCAATAGGTGACTCAGGAAGCTGGGCAATGATCATGGGTGTTGGTGTAGCATTTCAACTACGGAGGCATTGTGCTGGAATCTTAGAAAATGCACATCCCACAACTGGGACCTGACAGCCCTCTCAGGCACACACTCAGAGGTCCACATTCAAAGTCAAGTTGTAGAACACACTTGGCATGAATCAGAAAATCAACCTCACATCTGCCTCATCAAAAAGAATGCTTCTGCCAGGAACTGCTGTAAATATATCTCAGGTCAATGTAGGTATATACAGGGTTTCCTTCCTAGTGGCACTTATGGGTTTTAAGATTTTTAATTCTTAGCAAAATGTTTTATATAACTGATATCTTGAGATGGTTTCTCTCCTTTGTGTGGACTCTCTGGTGGATGCAGAGGCTTGTACTCTGACTGAAGGCCTTCCCACACTCATCACATTTAAAAGGTTTCTCTCCTGTGTGGACTCTCTGATGGATGCAAAGGCTTGAACTCTGACTGAAGGCCTTCCCACATCCACAACATCTATAGGGTTTCTCTCCAGTGTGGACTCTCTGGTGGATGCAAAGGCTGGAACTCTGACTGAAGGCCTTCCCACACTCGTAACATTTATAGGGCTTCTCTCCTGTGTGAACTCTTTGATGCATGCAGAGGCTGGAAGTATGCCTGAAGGCCTTGCCACACTCTTCACATTTAAAGGGTTTCTCTCCTGTGTGGACTCTCTGATGCATACAAAGGTTTGAACTATTACTAAAGCCCCTTCCACACTCACTACAGACATACGGTTTCTCTCCTGTATGAACTCGCATATGAATCTGAAGATGGGAGCTCCAATTGAAGGCTTTGCCACACTCGTAACATTTATACGGCTTCTCCACTGTGTGGATTTTCTTATGTCTATTAAGCTTTGTTGTAGTGCTAAAATCCTTACCACAATCATCACATTTATACACCTTCTCTCCTGTGTGGTCTCTCCAATGAATATGCAGTTCTGATATATGAAAGAAACCCTTATCACACTTATCACATTTATGGGGCTTTTCAGCTGTGTGAATTTTCTGATGCATAAAAAGATCTGCTCTCTCAGAGAAAAATTCCCTACACATGGGGCACTTGTAGATCATTTTTCCTATTTGGTATCGTGATTTGGAGGAGAAAATTTCCTTTCAACTACTATAGTTACAGAATTGTCACTTCATAAAGTCTCTTATTTGGCCATTTTGGCAGTCTATCTCAGGCTTGCTCTGTTAGGCAAGTTTAAGATCAGCCTAAGCTTTTCCCTGCCTGTCTTTCTATGGAAGGTTTCTTCCTGCATAGTGTTCCTCACTCAGTATTATTACTGATTATAAAATGACATTTACTTCCACATGAATCCTGTAATTCATAAACATAGAACTTTGTTCTAGATCCTGAGTTGTCAACATTCCAAGGGGCTGCCAAGGTGCAAACCTTTGCCTTTTTAAGACCCTGGAATCTTCCTCTTGCAGAGTAATCTTGTACTTCTCACTTCTAGAAAAAGGACTGTACAGTGTATCCCCTGTATTTGAGGGTGAGATCCTGCTGATCGGTCCTGAGCCTCTGCAGCCAGCCCCTGAGCAGTCAGTATGGCCTGCTGACTCCTGCACATCAGACAGGAAGCATTTCCAGGAAGCAAGCTCCTCGTGGTCCCAGTGTGGCAAGCTGTGTTTCTGGAAGTGCCTACATAGGTATCATGCCAGTGTCCTGCAATAGAAACACAAGAAATTAATTTAATTTTGTCCAGAAACCTGCTATAGATTCCTTAATTTTGTACCAATGTTGACTGTAGTAGCACAAACCTTTTTTTGATCTTGAAGAAGCTCTCTTATCTTCCAGAGACACGTCTCTTGGGTTTGCAGGTCTGAAGAAAAGAATTTGTAGATATCATGCTCCTGTTTATAGCCCAAGTATATAATCCAATTACAACCACTCACTGTAATTACCTGAACAACATCAAGGGAAATATTACTGAAAGAGAAAAGAAATCTTCAAAAGACTCACAAGTGAGTATGGAAAGCAGCTGTCTTGCACAAAAGAACAAGGAAAACTGTCTCCACTTGGAACTTCAGAAGGTACAATGCTGCTGCTTTTAGAGATAAAACATCCTATTTCAACTACCTTCTAGTGTATACAAAGAATGAGTATATGACATGTCGGTATCAAATGTTGTTCCTCTGCTTAATCACCCCTACATTGTTTCCTGATGAACTTAAAATCCAAATCTTAACTAAAAAAACAAGGCCCCCCAGGAACCTGGTGTTTTCTCCCTCCTCACTCACTGCACTTCCTGCCATGGCCTTTTTCTGCTCTCAAACACCCCAAGCTGTTTCCTACCTTAGGGCCTTTGTATATGCTATTCTGGGCACCTGAACCCACTCCCTCCGCATTCTGTAAGGTTCTGCATGTTAACTGCCCCTCCCCTACAAACGAAGGCCCGCCCCTGGCTAGATTCTATTTTAATCTTTGATTCCTCCAAAGCAGATACAACATGTGTTATCTTACTTGTTCCCTGGTTTCTGACTTGTCTCCTGTACTAGGATGTAAGTGCCTCGAGGGAGAAACTTTGCGTGTGTTCGCTGTTATTTTCTGGCAAAGAGGAGGTGTTCAATTAATACTGCCCAGTGAATCTGGAGAGTACTTCAAGGATACCCTCTCTCACCCTACATAAATTACCCTGATTCATTCTGGTAGAGCAGATATGGGTACATTTCCCAGTACCTTATTTCGAGTCTTTTGATAACCTACAGGTAACAAAATACAAAACAAATAGAATGAAGAGGAAATAAAAGAAGAAAAAAAATCCAAAACATCCAATCTGAAACTTTGTAAGGTTCAGGACCATATCTCAGCAATCTCATTTCTTTGATTCTATGCACAGAAATAATTAATGAAATGAAATCAAAAGATCTTCTTAAAATAATACTTTTGATAATATGTTCCATGCAAAGATAGCAAGCACGGTGACTGAAGAGATTTCTTTAGTATTAAGCCGGCCAATCAAACTGTATTGCTTCTAGGTAGAAGCATTAAGAATTACAAAATTCAACTAGAATTTTCAGCAAAATTTCAGCAAAAATATGTCTAGAAAAATCATATATGCACCTAGTCTTGGTCCCACTAATAATTCTAGGTATCTGTCCCAAAGATACACTGGCAAAACAGGAAATGAGTGATATACCAGGTTACTCATTGAGGCAGTTAACCTGTCACAGCAGAACTGCAGGCAACTCAAGGCCTACCGATCATGGACTAGTTGATTTAACTATGGTACTTCCTCACAAGGAAATATTGCTTAGGCATTTAAAACAAAAAAGGAATGCGGAAGAGCACTACACAGTGACACGGAATAAACCAAGGTCGTTCCATTAAGTTAAAAAAAAAAAAAAAAAAAAGGTACAGAATAGTATATATTCTTTTCTCCCCTCCTGACCACCCAAAAGATTGTAACGAACTGGTCAACACATGCAGGTGGTCAACATAAGGAACTAGGCCTACTCTACTGATACATACATGTAGTGCATGTCCAGTCTATGCAAATTAGGTCAACCTAAAGAGCTGGTCCATGTAGGGAGGCAGTCAATTACAAAGGTCCTGCTGTATTTTATGTTACTTTTTGTGTAAAAATGGAAGGAAAAAAAAATAAACATGATGAGAAAGATAATCCAAAATTTAATGATTACCTATGGGGGGGAAGGAAACAAGAATGAAGTTAAGATTTGAAAACATAAATGCTTATATAGTCAAAAAATAAAATTAAATAGGAAAGAAAAACCAATCCCTAAAATTTTAAAACAAAAGAGAATGAACCTTAACTTTCATGCTGGTGACCCATCCACACATGGCAAACACAGTATAGTGACTGTACACCCACAGAAGAACATGTTTTACTGACAAATAGAGCTACAAAGAAATCAAACTTCTTTCATTAGTTTAACTGCTCATGTTAACACTGGTGTTTTTATAAAGTAGGAAAATGTAAATAAATAATTTATGTTAATGTTAGGAACCAAGATTCAGTGTAAGAAAAATAAGATGTAAGTATATAGTCAAAGTTAAGAAAAAAATTCTGTAAGGTAATATTTTGTTTACAAATATCAGTTTGAATTCATTGTTTTTATTTTGTTTTATATTTTATTTATTTATTTATTTATCTTTGTTGCCCAGGCTAGAGTGCCATGGTATCAGCCCAGCTCACAGCAACCTCAAACTCCTAGGCTCAAGAGATTCTCCAGCCTCAGCTTCCCCAGTAGATGGGACTAAAGGCATACCAGGCTAATTTTTCTATTTTTAATAGAGACAGGGGTCTTATTTTTGCTCAGGCTGGTCTCCAACTTCTGAGCTCAAGTGATCCTTCCATCTCAGCCTCCCTCTGAGTGCTAGGATTACAGGCATGTACCACTGTGCCCAGCCAAATTCATTATTTTTAAAGCTGTTACCAAAAAGGCCTATAAGCAATAAAAACAGATAGCAATGAGCATATCTAGGTTTCTCTTTCCTTAAATATCCTTCCTCACCAAGAGGCAAGGGATCCTCAGCTAAACAGCTGGCTTCAAGGCCAGAGTAGCACGCACAATATGAACCTGGGACATCCTGTTAATGCAGACACATGCTCAAGCAGCACAGAGCCAATTTATACAACTGAGTATCTGAGTATCAAACAGAATAAGGAATGCAACTGATTAAGACACGTGAAATACACACACCCCTGGAGTTTATAAATTGCAAGGGATGGGGGAAAAGAGAAAGAGAGGCGGCGGCAGAGCCATGGTCAGACCCAAGGCACTGGACGAAACTGCAAGTAACAAGAACATCAACTTTTTACCCTAAAAAGCAGCCATTAGAAGGAAAGCATCTATCGATCCCATGTTTCCCCTATAGATGCTCTCTCAAGACAATGAAACAACCTGCCTAATAATACCTGTACCCTTCCTTCATGAAATACCTGATTCAGACCATGACACTGCCTGGACCAAGCTGTCATTACTTCAAACAGTGGGTCAATCTTAGCACCACTCAAAGAGGAAGAGACAAGACCCATGTGGCCATCTGATGCTGTGACACAGTGGGAAACACACAGCACTACCTGGAGCCATTCTTGCCAAAAGACTGAACCAAATCAAGCCTCTGGAGCTAATTTTTAATTAAAGGAACTGGGGGGATAGAAGAACTACCAAGAAGGAAACAGCAAAATATCAAAAGGTAAGAAAGGTAAACCCCTCTATAGGGCAACAGCCCTAATTTCTACAAGTAAAGGGAATGGAAGAATGAGTGTGCTCTAGACAAAGAGACTTGAGACATAACAATCAAACCTTAACAGGAAGACCTTCTTTGGTTGTCACAAATAAAACAACCATTAAAAAGAGACAGACAGCTCAGAAAATGTGATTAGGGGCTGACATCAGGGACTGACAGAGTATCAGATTACAAAGGCATATTGTTAACTGGTGATAATGCCACTGTAGCTATAGAAACCAATGTCTACAGCTTTGGAGACATAGGCTAAAGAGGAATGAAATGACATTGACGTCTGATATGTCTTTAAATACTTTAGCAAAGAAAAAAAGTAAAGTAAAAAAGGGCAGACAGGCAAATGTGGCAAAATCATTCTAACTGCTGAATCTGAATGAGAGATAAATAGATGAATAAAACAGCCTTTATACCTTTGAGTACAGCTGAAAATTTTCATGACAAAAAAATCCGTTAATGCTGAGAAGACATTCTTTACCTGTTCCTCCTTCCACCACATACTAATCCCAGGGCCAAGTATACTGTACAGAGGTGCAACAAAGAACAGAACCAATGCAATGATTTTTGTTCTTCTTGTACCAGAATGTTTATTGCAGCTCAATTCATAATTGCCAAGACGTGGAAGCAACCTAAATGCCTATCAACTCATGAATGGATTAATGAACTATGGATATGTATGCCATGGAGTTCTATTCAGCCATAAGAAAAGATGGAGACTTTCTATCTTTTAAGTTGGATGGAGCCGAAGCACATTCTTCTTAGTACTAAATATCTCAAGAATGGAAAAAAAAAAAAATCCAATACATTTAATACTAATATGAAACCAATATGTAAACAATTACACACCCACATGAACAATAAAACACAAATATAGTCTAGTAAGGGGAGAGCCAAGGAGAGGGAGGAGGGAAGGCAATAGGCAGGATCTCACCTAATGTGCACAAAGTGAGGGTGCACAGCATACTCCCCGAGTGAGAGGCTCAAATACAACTTGAACTTTACCTTGGAAGTGAGAATAATGTAACCTAAAAATTTGTGCCCTCATATTAATTTGGAAAAAACCCACCAAAAACCAATTCAATGCTCCAAACAGCCAGCCTTCCCCCAATCAATCCTGGGCAGGGAAGGACACACAGCAATTGTCTCTGGAGAGCAGGGGAAGGTGGTTGCTGTGTGGCCAAAAGAGCAGGACAGAGACAGTCACTCCCAGTCCCTCCAGTGAAGCTAACTCCAGTGCCTTCACTGGAAATCCAGACACAAGCATCAGAGCACTCATCCAGACTGGCCTCAGAAGTGGATTCTGGTCAGAAGGGCAATAGTGCAACACCAAGCTCAGAAACAATGAGATTCCCACAAGACCTCCTGCCAGAGCTCCTCTTGAGGAATCAGGCCCTGCCACTCTTTCCAGATAGAATTGCTCTGAAGCATCTTCAAGCCTCACCACCTGATAGGTGAGTAACTTATATTCTGCAGGAAAAAGGAAGAAAAAGTAAAGCTAAAGAAACTCTGGCAAAATTTCCATGTGACCAAAGAAAGAACAGAAAGACAAACACAAAAAGGATTGCCACTGCAGCACCTTCTGGATGATTCTACACAGAAAAAGGGGGTTGTAAA